GCGGCAAAAAAAAATGACTGACGAGCTGGTTGCTACTGTGCTACATAAACAATTGTTTATTTGTCTGGTTGGCTGGCAGCGAATGACATACACACACATTGACAAAAAAACAAAATAGCGACTTAAATACCCAGCAAATGAATAAGAAGCAGAAGAAACTGAAGGAGATGACGAAGACAAACACAGACACACCAGTTTACATTGTGTAAGTACGCTTCTAACATGACTTTAATTCGGGTTCCATTAACAAAGATGGTATTTTCCTGTTGCGTCGCCAACACCAACACCACCATCATCATCATCTTCATCATCAAGAGCAATCCCATACCAATGCAAAAGAAAAAACTCCACCCCTCTTACTCTCTGATTTAATATTCCAACAGCATTCACATTAGTGTTACAATGCTTTCTGTCCTTGTTGTCGTTGTTGCTGCTGCTACTGCTGATAATCATGTTGTATATCCTTAAATACAAAAACACCAACACCATCCCCAGTAGCAACAGCAACAATACCTGTTTGTATGAACTTTGACTTAATAATGTCTTTGTTATATATTTAAGATTAACTTTTACAAATAAACATAATGTTAATTAAAACATTGACGCTGTCACCAAAGATGAGGTGGCACCGCTGTTTGTGGGTGTGTGCGTGTGCACTCGTGTGTTTTCATTACTACTAATTATTTGCTAGAAATAAACAAATGTAATACAAATTATAATTTTTAAGAGAGGTTGGAAGAGAGAGAGAGAGAGAGAGAGGGAGAGTGGCACAGAGCTTTTAGCTAAATAAATGACATGTTGAAATTTTTGGGGCTGTATAGGATAACTTGCAGAGAAGTATGAGGACCCGACACATGCATGAAACAAAAGAGAGCAACAATTTATTTTTTAACTTTTTGGGGGGTATAAACTCATAATCTAGGAGTTAATAGATAACAATTAGAGGTTTTAGAATCGAAGCGACCACACATTTCTTGGTATGCAGGTGTCATTGTAATATAGTGGGCCAGTGGGCCACTTTTGGTAAGCAGAACTGGCGCTGTGGGATGAGCCAAACGTAATATTACGGTGCCCATTTCTCTGTATTTTTATACCCTCCACCATGGTATGGAGGGTATATTAAGTTTCTCATTCCGTTTGTAACACCTCGAAATATACATTCTAGACCCCACAAAGTATATATATTCTTGATCAGCATAAAATTCTATTTTTATTTAGCGATCTCCGTCCGTCTGTACGTCTGCGGAAATCAGTCTAGCTTCCGAACGAATTGAAGTAGATTGATAAAATTTTACTGAAATGTATATTATGTCTGCAGGACTTTTGGCATTGTAGGTCCAAGTTTTGGCCATGTAGGTCCACGTTTTGGTATAGCACCCATATAACGGTACCTCCCGATATTCGGTATTTTGATAATATTAGCTACATTATTCACCGGAATTGTTTCAAATTTGGCATTTGAAGTTTGTAATGAATGCTACCACCTATGTCAAGAGATTGTCTGTGCAGGTCCACGTCTTAGCCCCCATATAATGGTACCTCCCAATATTCGGTATTTTGATAATACAGGGTTGCCCATATTCGACGGACCAATGACTCTTTGGGTCCATTCCAATCGACGTGGCTTACTGCAGGCAACATTCTTTGCGTCAATTGAATTTTGTACGGTAACAAATGCAAATCATTGGCCGTCTTTTATATGGCCTCTTCGGATTAGACAGAGCCTCACCAGTCGAAAATTTTTCGTATAAACGTTTAATGGTGTTCTTAGAAGGCGCACTTCTCATATTTTTTAATGTTTTAAAAGCGCGTTGAGTTTTCACAATTGACTCTTCTGTTGAATGTAAATTTCAACTATTTCAGAGCGCTCGCGTGGCGTGTATTGGTTCATGGTAAAAATCTGCTTGGACTGACGCTTCAAACACGGTATGTCATTAAGCGATGTAACATCTCTGTCAAAAGTTATAGTGTTGCCAGATGGTCCGTCGAATATGGGCAACCCTGTATTAGCTACATTTTTCACCGGAATTGTTTCAAATTTGGTATTTGAAGTTCGTAATGAATACTACAGCCTAAGACAGACAATTTTCTGTGCATGTCGACGTCTTCTTATAGCCCCCATATAACGGTACCTTCCGATATTCGGTATTTAGATGATTTTACCTACATTTTCCCCGATTTTTTTTAAGTTTCCCATTTGAATATTGTAATATCTTATGACAAAAGTTACCTATATAGGTCCATGTCGTGGTATAGACCATAATATTACAGCTACATTCGGTATTTTTAAGACTTTAACACAATTTTTAACGGATTTTATTGTTTTTGAGAATTGCCAAATTCGTTCCAAATGCAGCTTTTTACTTGTCTTATATTCGATATGATTTAAGATTTATGCATTTTTTTTTTTTTAACGGAAATGTTTTATATTTCGTATTGCATACCAAACCTTCAACATAAAACTGTCCATACAGTTTCACCTTCTCGTATAGCACCCGTATTATGGTACTTTCCAATACTCAGTATTTTGATGATTTTGGTTACGGAATTGTTTTAAATTTGGTATTTGATACGTGTAATTGGTATAACGCCCATGACAGAAAATTATTTATGGAGTTCCATGTTGTCAGATTTTGATATAATGATTCATTCCACCGCATATTCGGTTCATTGATTACTTCAGTTAAAATTTTCAAAACCTTACCTCACTTTCCAAATGGTGTGGGATATTATATCGAGAATACAGGCCCTCTCAAAAGGGTTGAAAGTTGAGAGATTGACTTACTGTTGGCGAGACGAAACAGCAAACGAAACAACAACAGAAGACCTTCAATTCTGATATTAGAATCGCTGTGAGTGTGTTGCAAATATATAAGGAGGTGTATTTGGATATTCGAACTATAAGGATACGAAAAAGCAGTATATAGTGAAAGAATAAAGCTGGAATTTTTTTTTGTTTTTAAGCGATATCAAATATTTATTAAAAGGTCACTTCAGACTATTGCATTGATTCTAATAGCCAAGATATCGGATATGTAGCAAAATAGGTACAATATATATGTAAAAGAAATAGGTCTTAGTTATTGTCCTTATATGTCAATAACCGCTGGACAGATTTCCACAATACTCATCAATTTCGGAATGGTCTCTTGACAGAAAAGTATAATATCTAAGAATTCGCGTAAAAATGTGACAATAAAAAAGTTAACATTTTTTAAACATTCCTTCAACTTTTCTTATATTTTTTATCGTATGCGACTTCTTCAATTTGACTTGCAATTTTTAATTGCACATTTTCTAAGGGTTTTCTACACCCTTTAACACTACAGGGTGAGATGAAAAAAACTGCAACCAACTTCAGACCGCTGTCATTTCAAAGCCATTCGTCCAACATCTGCTAAAGTTATTCCTGTGACAGCCCATTATCTTCTTTACAAGCGTACAAAAGCATTTTGGTGAAAATTTTCCAGAAAAAGAGTTATTCGTGATGAAATTCAAACATGAGTTCGTGAGTGCTGGAAAACCCACTCCCGCATTTAAATATGAATAAATATTTTGTGTCTCCTACCATCGCTCGTTACTGTTATACTGGGAGCGTAGCCCGACGAAGAAAACAGCAACTTCAACAGAAATGGTTCGAAAAGTAAAGAAGCGACTTAATCGAAACCCGTGTCGCAGTTTCCGAAAAAAATGGCTCGTGAGCTCAACATATCGCAATGTTCCATTCGGCAAATATTGAAAAATGATCTCGGGGTAAAGCCATTGAAATTCCAAAAAGCTCAAGAACTTACACTGCAACTAAAAGAAAATAGACCCAAAAGAGCTAAAGAGTTGCGTCGCTTGGCCGGGAGTGGTTAACTGGTTTTCTCCGATGAGAAAATATTAGTTGTCCAGCAGTTTGTAAACAAACAAAATAATGGTGTTTGCTTGCTAAGGAGGTCAGCTGAAAATGTGCACTATCGGTTTTCCACCAGAACTCAAGCGTCGGCCATGGTGATGGTGTGGGACGCCATAACAGCCGATGGTCGCTCTCCGCTCGTATGAATCGACCATGGCATCAGAATAAATGCAGAATATTATCGTGAAAATATTCTGGATGGTGTATTAAAGCCTTGGGTACGCAAACATTTTAGCTCAGACCTTGGACATTCCAACACGACTCAGTACCAAGCATGGTTACAAAATGGGGTTCCTCGCTTCATTTCCCGCGCACAATAGCCACCAAAATCTCCGGATACCAATCCGTCGGATTATTGTGTCTAGAGTATGTTGGAAAGCAAGGTTGGCCCTAAAAAATACCAAAGTCTAGGTCACCTCAAGCAAGCACTTCGACGGGAATGGGCTAAGATGCTGCAGAGCAACATTCGGGCAGCGTGTGGTGGTCTTATTGGCCGTTTGAAGGCCACAATTCGTGCCAAAGGTGAACAATTCAAACAAATCTAAACATATTCTAAAATTTGATGCTATTGCTGACTTTTTTTTCTTTTATTCAACAAAATGTAAACAAAAAAATGTAAAAAAATATAGCATTTGATTTTGTTGAAGACTGCGAACCCGTTCTGGTGCCTCAACCACAATACTTTTATCTCTCGTTACTTACGAAACAAGTCAGCGATTCTTTACATATAGCAATGATTTCTTTCAATCATAAGCCTAAGATGTATATGGCATTTTTGCTTTCGCATACAATTGGATGTAAAAGTTGGAACTTCTTGTAATTTTGTCAATACCAATATTTTCATCTGTATTAGATGAGGTATGAGAATGGAATGCTTCATATTAATTTTGGTCCGATATGAAATGGACAATATTGACCCATTCCTTCGGAACCTACTTCAATAAGGGTCAACATAATCATAACAGAAGTCAAAATATATTTAAATGATCGAATATTGGCTGAGGGTGTACATCTGTCGGCAAAAGCTACTGGTACTTTTTAACTTCTTTTAAAATTTCTTCAGTATTAAATAATATTTTCCCTCTCTCCCTTTCTTTTTCAGGGTATGCGTATGTCTGGTGAAAGTTCCGAGATAATGCATCTAACGCAATTGGAACGAGAAAGTGCTGGGGCTTATGCCTGTGGGGCAACAAATACGGAAGGTGAAACCAGAAGTTCCAGCATAACGTTGAGAGTACAATGTAAGTGAAAAACAAAACACTTTTTTAATATAAAAACATTTTGTTTGGAATGGTAGAATATATAAGACCATATTATAAGGCCACATTTTTGTGTTGGTAAGAGGTTGTAATACTTTTTTCGAAGCCTAAGGGAAGGTATTTTTTAATTTTCCTTGCTGCCTACTGCCATGAAAACAAAATTATTATTTTATTTATAATATTTCCATTAGATGTCAACAAAGACACCCTCCTCCCTAGTTTTTCCATTCAATTAAACTTTCTGCATCATTACAAAAAAAAGAAAAAAAAAAACAGAAGAGAGCAAGAAAAAGAAAAGGAATAAGAAAAACGGTAATGCAAATTAAAATAAAACTCCAACTAATATTTCCGTGACAAGCATACATACCCTGGATTCTGTTGATACTTCCATAAAATTATAAGCAAGAAAAAATAACATCGTCAACTTTTTTTTTTTTTTGTGGAAAACATAATTCGTTTTTTTCCTCTCTCTCTCTCTGCATAGAAGACATAATACAATTATAATGTATATTTTTTTTTTTTGCTATTTGAAATGAAATTGCATGGAAGTGATGAATTACGCGTAAAACTAGAATCTTTTCGTCGTAGCGTAGCTAAGACTTATGGAAGAAAATAGTTTTTCTTTTTCGCCTCACGAATGTTAGCTGCTTTGCCGTATTGTGTGTGCGTTTTCGCCTCACAGACTTTTTCGATGTGAAACGTGCTGCTGTGATGACAACACAAGGCAATAGAACGCAACACAATATGCGCTGAATGACAAAACGCAACGACTCAAGGTAGTGGGCAAAAAAAGAAAAGGGATTTATTCTATTTACAAATATGAGATATTGCATAGAAAATTTGCTGGGTTCTCATAAGAGATAACAAAAATATCGCTAATGGACTGCAAGGCGACACCACACTGTGGCACAAAAGTATTACCTAATTGGCTTTCCAAGTTTAAATCAAGGGTTTTGTAATATTTATTTTTAGAGCTTTCTAAGTCATTATTGTAAATTTTTGAAAATATTTGTATAACAATAGTCATGGTATCAGCACGAACCTTTCTAGAATGTTTCTCTGAGGATTTTCCAGTTACGGAATTTCTAAGAAAATCACCTCCAGGCTTCTTCAGCTACAAAATAAGGAATTTTTAAGGAACATTGTCAATGAATTTCTAAGCGATTTTTTAAAAAGTATTCTTTGAAGAATTTCAACTTAATATCATAGAATTTAGGCATATAACGTCTTTTAACGGTGGATTTTCAAATAATAATTTTGTAAGGTCTCTGAATTCTATAATTGATCATTTTTATACTGCATTTATACCCTACACCACAAGGTGGTCAGGGTATTATGTCTTTGTGCATTTGTTTGTAATAGGCAAAAGGAAACGAGATAGACCCATAGTTCCTTTTGATGATCTGCATAGAATCACATTCTGAGTCGATTTATGCATGTCCGTCCGTCCGTCAGTCTGTCCATGAATTCTTGCGAACAAAATGCAGGTCGCATTTGTTATCCGATTGAGATGACATTTTCCAAACAACATTTGTTTGGCCCAAGGACGAACCCTATTGAAATTGGAGATGATCTGTAAAAATTTAGATATATCCTCCCATTTAGATATAGCTCCCATATATGTCTTCGTCCGATTTGCCTTTTATTGTGCATCAAACATCTAATATTTCCCCGAATATTATGGAAATAATGAAAATAAGTATGCCAAATGTGATCGAAATCGGTTCAGATATCGCTATAGCTCCCATATATATTGTTCATCCGATTTGTTATTTTTGTCCTCCGCAGCCGTAATATGCACTCTGTAACAACAATATTTGGGGAAATATATCAAATGCAGCTCAGAAATACCTTTGCTAAATTTTATAGAGATCGGTTCAGATTTGGATATAGCTCCCATATATAACTTCGTCCGATTTACTTTTTATTGTGTACCAAACGTCTAATATTTGTCCAAATGAGATGGAATTTGGCACATAGGACCGAATTGAGTCTAGAAGGTAGTGTGCCAAATTTGGTGAAGATCGGTTCAGATATAGCTATAGCTCCCATATATATTGTTCATCTGATTTGTCGTATTTGTTACCCACAGCCGTAATATGCACTCCCTAACAACGATATTCAGGGAAATATATCAAATACAGCTCAGAAATATCTTTGCCAAATTTTATTGAAATCGGTTCAGATTTGGATATAGTTCCCATATATATTTTTATCCGATTTCAAATTACTTGTGCACCAAATTGGCAATACAAGTCCGAATTTAAAAGATACAAATGCTTCGGCATATTTAGTCCTTTGAACTTTAAATTATAATTATAATCATAGCGTGTATGATTGAATTCTCCCATTAAAAACGAAGCTCTACTAAATTAGCAAAGTGATGTAGGGTATCATAAAGTCGTCCCCGCCAGATTTTAAGACTTTCTTTACTGGTTTTTAATATGTGTATTGGTCTTCAACTTTGGGAATAGGCGACACACATGTTTATCTATGGAGGCATAGATTTATCATTGGTTACGTGTTTACCAAGTTCAAGGACTATTCCACAACAGCGGAACTTTCCATAACCGTTCTTTGCATTTCAAGAAAAATTGCATATAATAATGATGACGACAATGGGTGGAGTTGGCGGTCTGCGTTTCAGCATAGAAAATCTTTTCAAAAAATATGTCATATCTTCCCACCATAGAGAGAGAACGCTATATGGTTCCATCATACATGTGGGTGTGTGTGTATTTTCTGTCACCAGAACTTTATTATTAAAAATTGTTTTTCGCTGGAAAATCCAGCGAACATAAATTCATTCGTGCATAGTTACCAATGCATCCATCATTTACTTGCCAATGTGCATGCATGGATTCCGGATTTTTGTGAGAATTTTTGTTTGTTTCAGGCATTCACCGCATCATATTATTGAATCTATGGTAACAGCCAAATACAATTCAAAGCAATTCCACAAAAACACATGCACGCACGAACGTTTTTTCAAACGCACAAACACACACATATATATTTTGTTGTGCATAGTCCCAGCCAGCCAGCCAGCATGGATTTTCTCAATATATAGCCTCGAGTGACTGAGTTTCGTTACACAATTCAAATTCAAACTGATTTGGAAACTCAATGCGAATCAATTACAGATTAGGTTTTCTTTTTAACGAAACGCAAAATCTTATCATGTTCAATTCGTTTGTATGGCACAAATTCAGGCAATATTTTTTGTGGATTGGGGTGGAACGGACAGGCAGACGAAAGCTTTACATATATGCCAAGTTAGGGCACATCAAAGACCCATACAATTACTTTCGTTTTCTATGCCTTGGTGTACACAGTTTACTTTTGCCATTCCACCCCAATACACATTCATATGTAAATCGATTTCTGTATGTAAAGTTTGCCGTTGTCGTCGTATCTCAAACAATCTCTGAAACACACATACACACACACATGTATTCATACATATATCCATACTAATGTCAAAAGCTGTTGTTCGCCTTGTCTTTGACAGTAAATCGTATTCCCAAACGTTTGAAATACGACATTTGCAAAGAGACTTTCGCTCAACAAGAACGACATCAGGGTAAACGACAACAGCAGCAGCAACAACGACAACGACAACAACAACACCGAGAAATAAGAATAATAATAATAAACAACACCAGGGATATCTCGTATGTGTCTATATGTAAATGTGGCAAAAACGTTTAGATAAAAACAGAGAATCCTAACATGTGTGACATTTTCGGGATTTCCTTGGACACATTAATGTTGGTTGGCCTATTCTGTAGTTTTTCTTTTTCGACGTTGATATTATCTCGGGCTTGGTAATTTATCTACCTTCGATATTTTCTGCTGGAATGGCGAAAAAGCTGAGGGTTTGAATAGAGAGACAAGTTTATGTAAGTGACAATAGTTTTGGATTCTGTTTGGAATTTATTCGGGTAGGACCAGAAGACAAGCAAAATCTTTCAAAAAAAAAAAAAATAAAAAATTGCACGATCTTGGCGGCCAATGCAAGGCAATCTATTGTATTTTGGACTATCAATTTGGATATAATCACACGTTAGCTTTCAACAATCACAGTTAGTTTACGATTAGCACCATCTTCCAAAAAGTATGGTCCAATGATGCCACCTACACATAAACCGCACCACATTGTGACATTTTCTGGATGCATTGGTAGATTTTACAATGGTTCTGGCTGATTTTCTGTCCACAATCGAATTCTGCTTATCCATTGAGTCTAAAAGAACTGACCATAAAATGGAGGAAGCGAGCGATGAACATTTCTAACACTCCGAATTTCTTAATAATAACAAGTAAAGAAGGGGCAGTCGATGTTGCCGAAATTCATTTATACAATTATATTTTGACGTGCAAGTTTAGGACTATATCGTCTATAGGCATTTTAATTTTACTGTAACTCGAAAAATGATTTAGAAAATGGCACTATAGAGGTATTGAGCCGATAAGTTCCAAATTAAAATCAGGTCTTTGGTTGAGAGAACTATGCAGATATACCAACCAAAATTCCGCATGTGCACAGACAATATTCTGTCATAGGCTGTAGTATCCATTACGAACTTCAAATATCGAATTTCAAACAATTCCCGTCGCTAAAATCGTCAAAATTCCGAATATTGGGAGGTACGGTGATATGGGTTCTATGCTAAGACGTGGACCTGCACAGACAATTTTCTGTAATGGGCTCTAGTAAAGGATACCATCTTCAAATACCAAATTTTGAAACAATTCCGGTGAATAAAGTCGCCAAAATCTTCAACATAACGAATACAGGAAGGTACCGTTATATGGGGGCTATACAAAGACGCGGATCTGCATAGACAATTTTTTGTCTTAGGCTGTAGTATCCATTACGAACTTCAAATACTAAATTTTAAATAATTCCGGTGAATAATGTCGTTAAAAACATCAAAATACCGAATATCGGGAGCTACCGTTGTAACGCCCAAAAGTCATGCTTTCGTTTTTGGGGTACATTATTATTTTAAAGACCATTTTTACTTACTTATGTTATATACATCAACTATGAATTATATTTTTTTTGTTTGAAAATGAATTAAAATATTTAAGTTATGAATTAAACTAACAGCTACTCAGGGTCATGTAATTTAAATGTATTTGAATATTAACGGTCACACAGGTCCCCTAGTAGAAAGAAGTATACTTAAAATACAACATTGGAACCCCTGGTGGCAACTGGCGGAACTACGCAAAACTGTCAGATTGGGATCAGCTGCTGTCATGAGAAAACAACAATCGTTGTCCAGCCAAAAAGGTATAAAAGGAGACGCATTTCACACAATCGGGATCAGTCTTCTGTTGATGGCTGGTAAGTCAAGTGTGATTGGGAGGAAGAAAAGGCGCGCAACCTCGGTTGAATTGAGTCTTAGTAAGCCAAACAATAAGCCTTGACTATTTGTGGAGACTGGACTGGACTGAACGCAGGGTCAAGTGAGGGTTGTAGCAATACTCCCTATTCTTCGGGCTGCGTTGACGGCGACTGAACGCAGGGTCAAGTGAGGGTTGTAGCAATACTCCCTATTCTTCGGGCTGCGTTGACGGCGACTGAACGCAGGGTCAAGTGAGGGTTGTAGCAATACTCCCTATTCTTCGGGCTGCGTTGACGGCGACTGAACGCAGGGTCAAGTGAGGGTTGTAGCAATACTCCCTATTCTTCGGGCTGCGTTGACGGCGACTGAACGCAGGGTCAAGTGAGGGTTGTAGCAATACTCCCTATTCTTCGGGCTGCGTTGACGGCGACTGAACGCAGGGTCGAGTGAGGGCTGTAGCAATACTCCCTATTCTTCGGGCTGCGTTGACGGCGACTGACGTACTCATCGGGCTGCTGCTGTGCCAAAGCTGCCGCCACCCGATTCGTCGTGCGCGTATTCATCAGGCCGCCGCTGTGCAAAGCCGCCGCCACCCTACTCGCCGCTGACGTATTCATCGGGCCGCCGCTGTGCCAAAGCCGCCGCCACCCTATTCGCCGCTCGCCTATTCATCGGGCCGCCGCTGTGCCAAAGCCGCCGCCACCCTACTCGCCGCTGACGTATTCATCGGGCCGCCGCTGTGCCAAAGCCGCCGCCACCCTATTCGCCGCTCGCCTATTCATCGGGCCGCCGCTGTGCCAAGCTGCCGCCACTACTATTCGTCGCTCGCCTATTCATCGGGCCGCCGCTGTGCCAAAGCCGCCGCCACCCTATTCGTCGCTCGCCTATTCATCGGGCCGCCGCTGTGCCAAGCTGCCACCACTGCTACCCGTTTATTAACATTTCGACTGAACTTTGTGATTTAGTGTTCTTCGTAAAAAGTTCTGAACGTGATTTTATTGTGTTTAGTGTAGTGTTTAGTGTTATTTAAGGAAATAAATTTATAACGTTTTAAGAAAATATTTTTGCTTCGCTCTCTCTCTCTCTTTATGTCCTAACAAATAAATTTTTGTGACGACTCTGGCCCCCGCTGAACCTACCCCAGCTTCAAAGTGAAAACACGTCGTCACAATGGCGCCCGAGCAGGGACTATAAAAGAGAGAAAGAATAAATAAATGAGTGAACAATAATTAGACAAATACAGATGAAAACCCAGTGAAAGAAAAACAGTTAAAAAAAAAAAAAAACTGAAACAAGTAAAAATAATAATAAAAAAAAAAAAAAAAAAATGTCAAACGAAAAGACAATGTTGAAGGTCTCCTGGGCCTATATGCTAAAGCAAGAAGACTTGGTAACATATCTTACTGAATTCAATCTTGATCCAGTTGGAAAAGTGGACGATCTCCGAAAAAGATGGGCTAAATTTCTCCACAACGACCATGAAGCCGATGTATACAGACGGCTTATAGAGTTGCAGAACAAACATGAAAGTACCAGTCCGACCAAATCGCCGACATTGCGAGCCGTCACAAAACAACCCCTTATAACCGTAACACCGTGTGGAGCAGAAGCAATAGTATTATCCCCAATAAAAACAGAGTACGCCCTTCCCCACATTTCCGCGGAAAGGTCACATGGAGAGTCAAGCACAGGGGTAACAAACGATCAAAAAGTACAGAAGATGTCGCCAACAAACCCCGAATATGGATTTCAAAAAGATTCTCCGCCCAAGCCATCCAATAATTCGTCGTTACTCGTAATTCTCGACCAAATCCGAAAATGGAATATTACTTTTGAAAATGGTATGGACCCTATTGGATTCGTAGAACGTGTAGAAGAAATGGCTGAAATGTACATCGTGGAATTGAATCAAATAATTAAAGTAATGCCAGAGTTGTTACGAGGTAAAGCTTTAATCTGGCTAAGGAACAACAACCGACACTGGACTACCTGGAACGAATTTAAGAGTGATTTTCTGAAATTCTTTTTGCCACCGAGATACTTTGAGAAATTGGAGGATGAAATTAGGAGAAGGATACAGCGTAATAAGGAGCCGTTTAAGGAATATGTACTCTCTATACAGCATCTTATGCAGCACACCAATATGACCGAAGAACAAAAATTGGAACGAATTTTTAGAAACGCGCATTCGGATTATCAATGGTACATTCGCCGTAAAGACTTTACCACACTTTCGGAATTGATCTCCTTGGCAGACGAACTCGAAAGCATACCAAATAATTCTCGGTCAGAACAGCCTCGAAATCAACAAAACTATAATCGACGTGCGGACAACTCTAGAAATAACCTGTATTGCACCAATCAAGGTGACCAAGTGCTAAACGAAAGCTCATCCAATCCAGAAACGCAGCAGGATGAACCCCCGGCAAAGAAGAGTAACCAGAATATTACATCATTGCAATGTGAAGAATATCGCCTTACTGCAACTGTCTTAATAGAGGGGAAAGCTATTAAAGCAACTGTCGACACTGGTGCCACTAGCTGTTTTATAAAAAGAGAATTTGCGGAAAAAATCAAGAAAAGGTTTACTTATTCACGGCATGAGGCAAATGTTATCCTCGCAGACGGCACCACGGTGAACATCACAAGATCAACAGTGTTACCTGTTACATTTGGAAACCAAAGCTCAGATGTTACATTTCTCATCATGCCGCAATTCAAGGAAAACATCATATTGGGATTGGAATTTCTAAAACAGTTCCACACGACCATTCACTGCGCCGGTATAAGTGTCAAATTAAGTAAGCCAACCACATCAACGGAGCATTGTACCGTGGCTATAGGAGAGGAAACCCCATCAAAAGAGGTAATAGATACAATGACAGCTACGAATAATGTATCCCCCAGACCTAAATTCTTAAACGATGAATTGAGTAAAACGCAATGTGAGATCGTTGAAAATTTTCTGGCACAGGAACTCCCTAAGTTCCAACAATTAAATGGCCTATCGTCAATAGCTGAACATAAGATTGTAATGACCGACGATCGACCCATTAAATTAAGATATGCTCCGCGAAATCCTGCAATGCAAGCCGTGATTAATGCCGAAGTGAGAAAGCTCGAAGAACGAGGATGTATAGAGCCGTCTACAAGCCCATACTGTTTCCCCATCACATTAGTCAGAAAGAAAAATGGGAATTGGAGAACTTGTATGGATTTTCGCCAATTGAATAAACGTTCTGTTCCAGATGCCTACCCTTTACCCCGCATCGACACAATACTGAATCGACTACGGGATGCCAAATACGTGAGTAGCCTGGACCTTAAAGACGGATATTGGCAAATACCTATGGCGAAGGAGAGCAGAAAATACACGGCCTTTGCGGTAGCTGGTAAAGGTCTATATCAGTGGAAAGTGATGCCTTTCGGTTTGCATTCAGCACCGGCAACCTTCCAACGGGCATTAGATAGTGTGATTGGGCCTGAAATGGACCCCCACGCTTTTGCATACCTTGACGATATCATCGTCATTGGAAAAACGTTTGAGGAACACTTGCGGAACTTGAGAGAAGTGTTCAGAAGATTGCGATCAGCTAACCTGAGAATAAACATTGAGAAATGCGAATTCTTCAGAAAAGAAACGAAGTATTTAGGCCATGTTGTGAGTAGCGAGGGAATAAAGACGGATCCAGATAAAGTTGCCGCAATAGTGGAAATGAAACCTCCAACATCGGTAAAGGAGGTACGAAGATTTCTTGGAGTAGCATCTTGGTACCGAAGATTTGTCCCACAGTTTGCAACAATTTCACAACCATTGACTAGTCTTCTTAAAAAGGGAAAACATTGGAAATGGGGTCCCGAACAACAAGAAGCATTCTCAGACCTAAAAGCAAAGTTAACTGAAGCCCCCGTTCTGGCTTGTCCGGATTTCACAAAGACGTTCATATTGCAAACTGATGCCAGCAACTATGGCCTTGGAGCAGTTCTAACACAGGAGTTAGATAACGTGGAACGTGTCATAGCCTACGCCAGCAGACATTTAAAACAGGCTGAAAAGAACTACTCAGCGACTGAAAAGGAATGTCTAGCCATACTGTGGGGCATTAGACACATGAGACCCTATTTAGAGGGTTACCAGTTTATAGTTATTACCGATCATTTGGCCCTAAAATGGTTAAATTCTATTGAAAGCCCTACAGGTCGACTCGCACGTTGGGCTCTCGAGCTACAGCAATATAATTTTTTGATCAGATACCGTAGAGGAAAACAGAACGTTGTGGCGGATGCGCTTTCGAGAACACCTTTGGAAACGTTAGACCTAGCCACAGTAGAATATGACACCAGTCCGTGCCCATGGCTAGAAAAGTTGAAGGAAACCATAACCAAGAATCCGAAGAAGTATCCAGACTATACAATCATTGAGGGAAATGTTTATCGACATTTTCCCAAGCAAATAAACGATGAAGATTGCACACCATGGAAGCTGTGTGTGCCCACCGGATCAAGGATTCAGGTCCTTAGAGAAAATCATGACAGTGTCACCGGAGGTCATTTGGGAGTGCGAAAGACTAGCAACAAGGTGGCGAACCGATATTTTTGGCCTGGTATGTTCCAGGACATCAAACGTTATGTCCAGCAGTGCGAATGTTGCCAAAAATATAAAGTCAGCCAACAGAAACCAGCAGGGGAAATGTTGATAAGAATCCCGGAGGAACCATGGGCCACTATTTGTGCGGACTTCGTAGGACCCCTACCGCGATCTAAGCACGGTAACTCAATGCTACTCGTTATTATGGATAGATTCTCAAAATGGACGGAGTTGGTTCCATTGCGGAAGGCTACGACAGAGGGATTAATAAAGGCATGCAGAGAAAGAATTATTTCTAGATATGGGGTTCCAAAAATATTGATAACCGATAACGGAACCCAATTCACTAGCAACCAATTCGAAAAATTCCTAGCAGAAATGGGTATAAAGCATCAACTTACGGCTCCTTACACCCCGCAAGAGAACCCTACTGAAAGGACAAATCGGACAGTGAAAACAATGATAGCACAAGTTTCGAAACAACATAATACATGGGACGATATGCTGCCCGAAATAATGTTAGCCATAAACACTAGTGCATCAGAATCCACTGGATATTCGCCGGCATACCTGACACAAGGAAGAGAACCGCGACTGCCCCAGGCATTATATGATCAGCTCACAACAGGAACTGGTGCTAGAATAGTCTTACCAGAAGACCGTGCCCAGGAGTTGAAAGAAATATTTAAGATAGTGCGTCGAAACTTGGCAAAAGCATCTCAAAACCAGCGGAGACAGTACAACCTTAGACGACGAGTTTGGAAACCAAAGATTGGGGAGCAAGTTCTAGTTCGTCTACATCCTCAGTCGAAGGCCGTCGAAAATTTCGCCGCCAAACTAGCGCCCAAATACGGAGGGCCGTTTGTCGTACAAAAATTCCAATCTCCAGTAATCGTTGTAGTCCGAGGAAAAGACAACATCACCCGCGTCGCGCACTTAAGTGAAATTAAGCCTTTTTATGAAGAACAAAATTAAATTGTAGACATAGAAGTAGAATGTTGATTGTAGTTCCACTTACGTTTATGTGATGCCATTTCATTATAATTTCTTATTTTATTTTTAGACATTAAATTGACAATACCCAAACTAATCAGTGTCCTAATATAAGCCCATACTTCAAAGACCATCGCAATTCTCAAAATTTCAACATCACGATGGAGCAAGATAGCCCCAACACGAAAAAATTCAAACGGGCGAAGGAGAAATTTCGAGCTCATCTGGAACAAGTCGAGGCTCAAAGGCGAAGGACAATATTTTTAGACGAAGGTCCTAGTACCAGCCGAAAGAGGAGAACAAATCAATACCGTAAGCCCAATCCAAGAAAGGGTAGCAGTCAATCCTCATCGCCCCAGCACCAAATATTTTACCGAATGTGCAGCACAACCCCGAATGACGTTCCACAGCAAAAGTGTAACACGACCGAAAACAACAGCGACGATATCGATGAAACTGACTCTTTGAACGAGGAAACCCAGCCTAGTAGTGACGTCCCGCGTACACCAACCTACGCCCCGTGTTTTGGTTCGCCAAATAGCTTTAAGCCGGCTTCCGATGTGCTCTCAACACCCACTTCAAGGTGCTCAGAAATGCCTGCTACACCGGGTAAAGAATGGTGTCGTGACTCAGATGACGCATCAACTCTTCCTCGGCCCAATATGGAGGAGTCGGATGAATCTCAATCAAATTTCGAAATGGATGAAGAATGTCGGCGTATGTTTTACGGTTACTTAGAAACCTCAGTGACTCGGCGAGCACAGTCACCCTTATCCTCGAATAATTCCTCGCTGGATGAGTCGGATAACGAAGATCAACGTTCCTCGTCTCCGCCAAAAAGGTATGGACTGGGATTTGTCCGTCAGAAAGATAGCCAATACAAATATCTCGGATTTCGCTGTTATGAGAGAACAGTTACTGTGCAGCTTTTGGTCCCCGACTCCGGGGAAAATCCAATATATGAAATAACCAACCCACCGCCGGATAATCATCGTACGCCCTCACCCACACCCGCGATAGGGGAAGAGATCAACACCGAAGATATCCATTCAATATCCAACACCTCACACAAACATGAGGAGGTTCCTACTTCATCCTCACATGCTTTCGCACATTTAGAAGAAGACTCCAGATCGACCGCAAGTAGTTTTGTGACAGTTTCCGAAGATCCTAGTTTTGAGTGGTGGACCCAATGGCAGACGCTGGTTGGTGTTCCTCCATCATCACCGCTATATAACATAACCGAACAAGCAAATCTGTTGCATAGTGATGACGTACAAATTCCATCGCAATCCAATGCTGCCGTCATATCGGACGATCACAGGTCCCCCAACGTGAAGGAAGATAAATCATTACCAGGAACGCCGGGACACGTTGTCGAACTGTCATCACCATCGATATCTTCCCGATCGTCATCCTCATCCTCATCAGCCTCGTCGTCTTTATCGTCATCCTCATCCTCATCAGCCTCGTCGTCTTCATCATCATCCACAAGCCAAACGATGACACCTCATCAGCCAACATTGTGTAGCAGTCAACCTTCCATCGATGAAGTGTTTATACCCAGTAAGGAGAATAATAGCACACCAAGTACAATCAAATTGCCAGTCACTGAAATCCCAACTGAGTCAACGCCATCGTCCTCGACAGACAATCCCGTGAACGATAACACATTTCTCGAACTGCCAAATTATCCCGAAAACCTACAAATCCGTATCGAGAAGTTTAAAAACAATTGGAAAAAGGGACACAAACTGAAGCGAATTGTTAAACAAGATGGCAAGCAGTACCGCATAATAATATCAGCAGACGGGGTAGTGAAGGTATCTCTCCGAACTTCTGCAATTGGTCTCTAACATACCTTCCTATTCGACCGAGATATAGTCGAACTAAAGTGCCCATGTCGGAGAAATAAAAGGTTACATAACACCCTAGGGCTTCCTGGCTATTGAAACCCAATAGCAATAGAGAAAGCAAATCAAGGAATCAAAAATCAGAGGGAGGAAGAGATGCCATGTAACGCCCAAAAGTCATGCTTTCGTTTTTGGGGTACATTATTATTTTAAAGACCATTTTTACTTACTTATGTTATATACATCAACTATGAATTATATTTTTTTTGTTTGAAAATGAATTAAAATATTTAAGTTATGAATTAAACTAACAGCTACTCAGGGTCATGTAATTTAAATGTATTTGAATATTAACGGTCACACAGGTCCCCTAGTAGAAAGAAGTATACTTAAAATACAACATTGGAACCCCTGGTGGCAACTGGCGGAACTACGCAAAACTGTCAGATTGGGATCAGCTGCTGTCATGAGAAAACAACAATCGTTGTCCAGCCAAAAAGGTATAAAAGGAGACGCATTTCACACAATCGGGATCAGTCTTCTGTTGATGGCTGGTAAGTCAAGTGTGATTGGGAGGAAGAAAAGGCGCGCAACCTCGGTTGAATTGAGTCTTAGTAAGCCAAACAATAAGCCTTGACTATTTGTGGAGACTGGACTGGACTGAACGCAGGGTCAAGTGAGGGTTGTAGCAATACTCCCTATTCTTCGGGCTGCGTTGACGGCGACTGAACGCAGGGTCAAGTGAGGGTTGTAGCAATACTCCCTATTCTTCGGGCTGCGTTGACGGCGACTGAACGCAGGGTCAAGTGAGGGTTGTAGCAATACTCCCTATTCTTCGGGCTGCGTTGACGGCGACTGAACGCAGGGTCAAGTGAGGGTTGTAGCAATACTCCCTATTCTTCGGGCTGCGTTGACGGCGACTGAACGCAGGGTCAAGTGAGGGTTGTAGCAATACTCCCTATTCTTCGGGCTGCGTTGACGGCGACTGAACGCAGGGTCGAGTGAGGGCTGTAGCAATACTCCCTATTCTTCGGGCTGCGTTGACGGCGACTGACGTACTCATCGGGCTGCTGCTGTGCCAAAGCTGCCGCCACCCGATTCGTCGTGCGCGTATTCATCAGGCCGCCGCTGTGCAAAGCCGCCGCCACCCTACTCGCCGCTGACGTATTCATCGGGCCGCCGCTGTGCCAAAGCCGCCGCCACCCTATTCGCCGCTCGCCTATTCATCGGGCCGCCGCTGTGCCAAAGCCGCCGCCACCCTACTCGCCGCTGACGTATTCATCGGGCCGCCGCTGTGCCAAAGCCGCCGCCACCCTATTCGCCGCTCGCCTATTCATCGGGCCGCCGCTGTGCCAAGCTGCCGCCACTACTATTCGTCGCTCGCCTATTCATCGGGCCGCCGCTGTGCCAAAGCCGCCGCCACCCTATTCGTCGCTCGCCTATTCATCGGGCCGCCGCTGTGCCAAGCTGCCACCACTGCTACCCGTTTATTAACATTTCGACTGAACTTTGTGATTTAGTGTTCTTCGTAAAAAGTTCTGAACGTGATTTTATTGTGTTTAGTGTAGTGTTTAGTGTTATTTAAGGAAATAAATTTATAACGTTTTAAGAAAATATTTTTGCTTCGCTCTCTCTCTCTCTTTATGTCCTAACAAATAAATTTTTGTGACGACTCTGGCCCCCGCTGAACCTACCCCAGCTTCAAAGTGAAAACACGTCGTCACACCGTTATATGGGGGCTAAACGAAAACGTGGACCTGCATACCAAAAGGTTTGTCATAGGCTGTAGTACACTTTACGAACATAAAATGTAAAATTTAGAAATAATTCCGGTAAATAATGTCGCTAAATCATGAAAATACAGAATATCGGGAGATACCGTTATATGGGGTTTATAAGAAAACGTGGACCTACATGGCCCATTTACGAACTTAACCTGCCAACTGGTAAACTTTGCATGTATGCAAAATTTTACTTCTATATCAATTCGTTCGAAAGAAACAGATCGTCTTAGAATTTTACGCTGATCCGGAGTATACATACTTTATAGGGTCTATTAAAAATATTTCGAGGAGTTACAAACGGAATTACAAAGTTAATATACCCTCCATAGAATGGTGGAGACTATAAAAATGTTCAGATAGATCATGCTACATTTTCCTGCTCAATTTGGGTTCGTGACGAAGACATATTAGAAATGTTTGGGTTGCTAGGTATATGCCAGGATCTGAAAACCACAGGATACTTTTCCGAATAAGTCTTCGTCACGAACCCATACTGAGCAGGAAAATGTAGCATGGTCTATCTCAACATTTTTATACCCAGGATAAAACATCCATATTTTTTCTGATTGGCGTTCTTTCAACTTCCATCCTCCGTAACAAAGGAATAAATTTTGCTAAATATTGTTGTTCCATCTGTTAAAAAAATTCTCCAAGAATTAAATCCCATTACATATATCAATTTGTTGGGATACAGTTCATTACCTTCATACATATTTAGATATAAATATATATATATGTATATCTATTCCCAGATTGATGTAGTGGCATTTTTATTTGCCAAAAAAAAACCTTTAACAATTTATTATCCTTTTTTAATTGCCTAACTTTTTGAAAATCAAATTTAGTTATCTATTATTTGAATTTCCATATAAGTTTTGTTGTTGTTGCTGCTATTGTTGTTGGTTTTTTCTTAGTGTTATTTTCTGATTTATTATGTATTTACTACAAGTGGATATATTTTTGAAAGTAAACTAATCCATAAATTGTTTTTTATTGTATAATAAAAATGGAAATAATTTCGAAATACATATTTCCGTACAGAATATTGTTTATATATTTTTGTTTTTTTTTTTTTTTTGTTTTTTGGGCATTTCGAGTAAGCAGAGTCAGTGAACTTATATTCAAAGGTACATGTGTGTGTGTGTGTGTTGATATCTACATGTAATAAATTTTATATTGTTTAATGAATTTTAATGTTGCATGGCATAGCACAAGAGATTATCTAATGTTACCTTAACAAGATTAAATGAAATAACACACACACACAGATGCAAACAGATATGTTTTTATGTAGAGAAGTAAACAGAAATAAAAAATTGTTTAATATATATATTGAGTTTCAGCAATAAAAACAAAAACAGCTATAATAGATAACAAACAGCATTTTATTATTGCAAGATTCATGGGTATTTGGAAAGAAGATGGCTAAATTATTTCCAATTTTCTAATATGTATTTATTGGTTTTTAAAAAAGTAGTAGATCAATATTGATATTCAATACAAACAACCTTATCATTTTGTGAGGAGGTTTAGAAAAAAAATTATATTTTACTTTAATAAAAAAATACTTCTTTCATCAGTTATTGCAAGATTTCTGGGTAATTAAAAAGAAGTGCCTAATGAATTCTTAAATTTTGTAAAATGCATTTGTTGGTCTTTCAAAAAGAAGATCAATATTGAAATCCAATACAAATAACCTTACCAATGTATAAGGTGGTTTAAAAAAATAAATTAACCATAATAAAAAGCAAATCCTTCCATTTATTATTATTGTTTTTTTTTTAATCCATTTTGTGGCTAAGAAGAAATGTATTTACCTACACAAAATAAAAAAAAACAATTAGACAGGATGAGATGAAAAAACTGCAACCAACTTCAGATTACTGTCAAAATTATTGCAGTGACAGCTCCCTATATTGTTTGCAAGCGTACATTTTGGTGAGAATTTTCCAGAAAAAAGTTATTCGTGATGGAATTTAATCGCTAGAGCACTCCAGCATTTAATTGTGAATAAATCTTTTGTGTCTCGTACCATCGCTCGTTACCGTGATACGAGTAGCGTAGCCCGACGTCAAGGAAGTGGATGGAAGAAACAGCAACATCAGCAGAAATGGTTCGAAAAGTAAAGAAGCGACTTAATCGAAACCCGCGTCGCAGTGTCGCGCAATATTCCATTCGGCAAATATTGAAAAATGAGCTCGGGGTAAAGCCATTGAAATTCCAAAAAGTGCAAGAACTTACAACGCAACAGAAAGAAAATAGACTCAAAAGAGCTAAAGAGTTGATTCGGTTGGCCGAAAGTGGTTTTCTCCGATGAGAACACATTCGTTGTCCAGCAGTTTGTAAACAAGCAAAATGATCGAGTTTACTTGCTAAAGAGGCCAGCTGAAAATGTGTACCCTCTGTTGGCCTCCAGAACTCAAGCGCCGACCATGGCTATGGTCGAAATTGCGAAAATATTCTGGAGGGTGTATTAAAGCCTTGGGCACGCAAACATTTTGGCCGCAGACCTTGGACATTGCTAGAGGACTCCAGCGCACAATGGCCACCAAAATCTCCAGACACCAATCCGTTGGACTATTGTGTCTGGAGTATTTTGAAAAGTAAGGTTGGCACTAATGCCAAAGTGTCGATCACCTCAAGCGAGCGCTTCGCCGGGAATGGGCCAAAATACCGCAGAGAAACATTCGGGCAGCTTGTGATGGTTTCATTGGCCGTTTGAACTTATTCTAAAATTTGAAACTATTTCCAAGATTTAGAATTATAGAATTAAAAAAAAAAATTAAAAAAATTATGGCGTTTGACTTTGTTGCAGTTTTTATACCCTCCACCTTGGAAAGGAGGGTATATTAACTTTGTCATTCCGTTTGTAACATCCTTAAATATTCGTCGTAGACCCCATAAAGTATATATATTCATATTCAGCATAAAATTCTAAGTCGATTTAACGATGTCCGTCTATCTGTCCATTTGTCTGTCTGTCCGTTTGTCTGTCTGTCCGTCTGTCTGTCTGTCCGTCTGTCTGTTGAAATCACCATACAGCCCACATTATCTGACGTAGAGCGCCAAAATTTAGCAAAGCAATTTGTATTGTGTCTAGGATGGTTGGTATTGAAAATGAGATATATCGGTCCACGTTCTGGTATAGTCCCCATATAACGGTACCTCTCGATATTCGGTATTTTGATGATTTATGCCACATTATTTCACGGATTTGTCTGAAAACTGGTATTTGTAGGTCATAACGGGTCCCTGTACGTGTGCCAAAACATTGCATGTATAGGTCCACGTTTTGGTATAGGCCCCATATAAAGGTATCTCCCGACATTCGGTATTTTGATGGTTTTTGCCACATTTTTTTACTGATTTGTCTGTAAATTGGTATTTGTGGGTCATAGTGGGTGCTAGTTCGTGTGGCGAAAGATTGTATGTATAGGCCTACGATTTGATATAGTCCCCATATAACGGTACCTCCCAATATTCGTAATTTTTTTGATTTTTTTAAGAATTTCTCTGAAAATTGGTAGTTGTAGATCATAATGGGTTCCAGTTCGTGTGGCGAGTCATTGTAATTATAGGTCCACGTTTTGGTATATGCCCCATATAACGGTACCTCCCGATATTCGGTAATTTGGTATTTGTGGGTCATAATGGGTGCTAGTTCATGTGGCGAAAGATTGTATGTATAGGTCCACGATTTGATATAGTCTCCATATAACGGTACCTCCCGATATTCGGCATTTTAATGGGTTTTGCCACATTTCTTCTAATGTTTCCTTTACCTAAGGTGGAGGATATTAAAAGTTCGGCCCGGCCGAACTTTATGTTTTTTTTTTTTTACTTGTTTTATGTCACCCTGTAATTCCTCTCCTTCTTCAACCACAAATAAAATCTAAATAACTTCCAGTTGGTAATCTTTCAAAGGATAATTCACTTGGAAACAACATATTTACGTCTACAAGAAATCCAAAAAGAACTTAATTTTTCCATTTTAAAAGCGGTCGATTAACCTATTCCGCCCCATATTCATTTTGTACATTTCTTTGGCCACATTTGATTTAGTCTGCAGCCAAACCACCCTCACCGCACGCACTTAAAGACGACACTTTTGCTTGAAGCACTTATGCTGTTTTCTAATTAAACGCTTCGCACAGTACTTCACATAAAAAGGCCGTTGAATGAAATCTCTTTGATCTGCATATAAATACTTAAACACAATGCCACTTGCAACCCACACACACACTCACGCCTAACCTACTCAGCCGCACACACTCATCTGTACTTGAGAATGTTCTTGGAGGACTTGCATTTTGTCGGGCGACAAACGCTTAACGTTTTCATGGAAATCGAAAATAACAAATCAGCGTCAAATGCACGCTTCAATTGTTCACACTCCTCCCCCGAACCCCAAACCGCTGTATCTCACCCCTTAATATTTAGATCTTAGCTATAGCTCTACATGTGTGGTGAACACCTTAGATTTCTTTTTGTTTTTTTTTTATTGTAATGGCAATCATAAACATACATAAAAGCAAGAGAATTGAAAAAGGTAGGGGGAGAACCACAACAAAAATCAAACACAAAGAACTGAGCCACCAAGATGTTGGCACACACACACATGCAAACAAGTACCAATAACAACCATGATTTATGGCAAAACAATGCCAACCAGGCATATATGTCAAAGAGGGCCAAAAACAAAACGTACAAACACACAGAAGAGAGGATAACAACCAGATTTAAACGAGGTTAATATCGGCCAGATTGAAAATTTCCTATGTCCTTCACTTTGGAAAATTTATATATGTTTTTCAAACGCAAACAAAATAT